ATTATCTGATGAAATGCCTTCTTCTACACAACCGTGAAAGAGATAGAAGCCTTTGTCTATGTCTGGAATTGAGATGCCATCTTTTTTTCAAGTACTTTTGGGAAAAGAAGAAATTTCTTGGCTCATAGATTTAAGCATTTCATATCACAAGTTTTCAACACAGAAGATAATATCATCTTTAATCTCTGCTGTAGAGCATTCCCGGTTGTCATGTTGGATCTACTCACTTTTATTCTGAGCAAGTGAAGAAGGTAACATTCAAAATGTCTTGCTAAATAATAATGTGAAAGATCATATTATGTCACTAAAATGGACAGAATTTAATGCAATCTCAGCTCTATTGACAATACTCATTAAAAAAACCACCTCATGCCTCATCTCATGAGTGACCATCCATGGCCGAGTATGATTGCCTTCCAGAGGTGGATCCCTAAATGATTGTGAAAAATATTTTCGGTCCACGCAGCCTTTCACATCGAGGACATAGATTTCGAGATTGAAGGTGACCACAAGGTTTTACTTGATGTGCCTTCCTCTTGGCACCATTTCTTCCTTTTGTCCTACATTCATGCTTCTACAAAATCTATACCACTGTTGGTAGCAGTTGACCTCCTGTTACAATGCTTAAGTGCCCGGGCTTCTCAGTTCTTGGTGTCTATACCGCATTTTTAAGCCCATTTTTAATCATTTTGTTATTCGCTGACAACAATAGCACTTTTGAAAAAAGTGCACAGCAAAGTTATTATTATTATTATTATTTCTCGCACTTCTACCCCGCCCTTCTCAACCCCCGAGGGGGGATTCAGGGCAGCTTACAAATGCACAATTCGATGCCAGCACAACAATAAGGTAAAAATAAAACATATATAAACAGTAATTAAAACAAAACAATCCATTATGTTTTTAACATAATGAAAATTAAAATGAAGATATAATAAAACTGCATGAGAATAATAATAATAATAATAATAATAATAATAATTTAATAATACTTTATCTAGTCTGATCTAACAGGTACTGTATTCTTCTAATTTTGAATAAGATTCTTCTGCATTTTTGTGTATTTTTAAAAGATAATACTATATGTATATATGTATGCAAACTGTAATTTTTAAAGAAGAGTTTGACAATTCTCCTTTGAAAAATGTTTTGTGTGAGTTTGCCTTTATATGGCTTGGCCTTGTGTAAGCCACTCCGAGTCACCTTGGGGAGATGGTAGTGGGGTATAAATAAATTATTATTATTATTATTATTATTATTATTATTATTATTATTATTATTAATGAAGCTGGACTTCTGACAAGGAATGGGTTCCATTTCTCAGTAGTTGATAGAAAGTTTTTTTCTACTAATGCACAGAGCATGGAAAACAAATAAGATCACCAAATCACTAAAGAGGAACTGATATGAATAGCAAGCACATGTAAGGATAAAGTCAGAAAAGCTAGACCTCAGGATGGTCTCGAAATTGAATTTAGAGTAGGACCATATTGGGAGGGGGGGGGTCCTGCCTGCTGAGCATTTATGCTAACAGCCCAAAGTTTCAAATTAGAGAACACATTCACCAGGGTGAACTTAGCTACACAGGTTTTAATTACAATGTGGCCAGAAAGGATGCAAGTATGGCTAGTGCCAAAATATGCAAGCATAAATATGAATTCAGAGACATAAGGTTTTATACATTTAACAGCCATTCAAACTTCCCACTCCACCCTCTCCCCTCCCTGATTGGCAAGCAGAGAAGCTGGTCTAAAGCAGCACTTTGATTGGCTGGCACTTTGGTTACATTGCCACCTTCAGGTGGGGATGTGGAAGAGGACTGACTGGGAGGGCCAATCAGCTGTGGGGGAGGGGCAGCTCTCGCAAGAGGAGTTGAGCCTCAGAAAATCCATGCCCATATTGGGAAATGTGAATGAGTCCATAATTGGTTTCAATTAAGATAAATTTTAGACATTCAGCTGAGCAGGCCCATAGCCAGGATTTTGATTTGGGGGGGGGGGCTGAGTCTGAGTGAAGGAGGGTCTACCCTAGCAAACCCTTTTTATTGTTACCCCAAATACCCCCAAGCATATGGGATATATTGAGTATGGTGATCAGATCATGATATGAATAAACATAACAGTTTAAATAATGCACCAGTAAGGCCTTTTCGTGAACCACCATGAGAATTGGGGGGGGGGGGCTGAAGTCCTCAAGCGCCCCCCCCCCCCCGGCTACATGCCTGCAGCTGAGCAAATATTGACAAGTGTTATCAGATCAGGAGCAGAAACTGCTGGTTGATTCACGCATGTACACAATTTGTCCCAATTGTCCCCTTTGCCTAGGGCAATTGGAGAACTTGCTCAGCCCCATAAGTCCAGGAAATTTCAAAGCAGAGTCAGTAAGGAGGTGAGGACCCCTGTGGCTTGCTTAGATAGACATCTTATGTTTGATACATAATTTGATAAAGGGAAAAGTAGGACAGCAAACATCAGCAATGGCAACAGGGGACATCCTTGGGAATTCTCTGGAGCTCCATAGCCACAGCTACAAGATTTATAAGATGACAAAGGTAAGGGTGGCTGATCTGAAGGTCCAAGCCAGGTTTAGCCCCCGCTGGATAGTCACAACTCCACACAACCTCTGCAGTGAGACAGAGGCAGTCAGTGTTGCCACTTCTAATGCTGATGTGGAGTACTGAACATCAAATCAGCCCCATAGTTTTTTGCCTATGTCGATGCATCCTAAAAAATAGAGCAACAGATTCAAACTACAGGAAAAAATAGTCTAACTAAGCATTAGGGAAAATTTCCTTATGATAAGAGCTGTTCGACAGTGGAATATGCTACCTTGGAATGTAATGAAGTCTTCTGTTCTGGTAATCTTTAAACAAAGCCTGGATCTTTTGGGATTGCTTTGATTATATTTTTCTGCATGGTAGGCAGTTGAACTGGATGTCCTTATAGTCTCTTTTAATTCTGACTCTAGGATTCATCCTAATAATGAAGGTAATTATGTCAAAACTCACATGATGGTTTTAACTAGGATAAACATTTTCAAGGGATGTGGTATATAACTCCCACTCTCCTTGCTCATAATTACACTTGTTTGTCGAAAAAATAAAATATAGGAATGGAGTAAACCTATGATTATCCTTGGCAAACTACAGAGTAACAAATGTACAAAACTCAGTTAGCTAAGCCCTTGGCTTTTCTCTCATCCTATCCTATCACAAATCATCTTTAAAAGGAAAGTGCTGCTGGTAGATACACCAAGCTTTACTGATGATCATCCCATTGTATTGTAGAGGTATGTAAAGGGATCTTGTAGCGCCCTGGTAAATTGAAAACAGAGGCAAAAATAAGATGGAAAGAATTCCAATAGGATCCTATAAACAAGCAAGAAAAAAGAAAAGAAAAACAATTCAACATTTTTCAGTAAAATCTTTATTCATTACTAACAATATGTATATTGGAAATGAAACAACACATTTCTGGTAACACTTGTATAACACTTGTATAAGTAAAGAAAACATATTGCTAAATATTCAAACCATTTTTTAACTTCCCACTTTCTGTGCTCTTTCCAGCCCAATGCCACAGTTGAATGTTTAGTGGAATTTTATGCTCCAAGACTACATCCTTGAAAGGAGAAACAAATATACAACAGGCCAAATCAAGAAGTGGGATCTGAAATGGGGAAGATTGATGGATAGGGGAAAAAATATACAAAGAACTAAAGCATTCTCTCTCCATGACTGATCAATTAAAATAATATTTGAATGAAGAAAAGGACTATTCCCAGAGGGGAGAGGGAGGACAGCAATATTGTTAGACACAAGTGGCAGATACATGCAGAATCAGCAATGTTAAAAAATGAAGTGAATAACATTCTGTTTGTACTATGAAATGGTTACTAAAATTTATATTATTCTACCTGAAAAGATGGCAAAAGTTGACTAGAGGGTGAAAACTTTGTCCTGGCAAGAGAAACTACTTCTTTAATAAAGTTTGTGGCACACAAACAAAGTTTGGGGAGTAGGACTGCTACTTTCAAAGTTAGGACTACACTATTTAACAGGAAGTAATCCTTTCAAGCCAGGAACAGAATTTTGTCATTATTATTATCATTCAGAGGCAGCATGGCCATCTGTCCAGACAGGTTTGATCGTTGTACTTGTTCCTGAACAACAGGATGGTGTTCCTGGGTTATACATGTCTGTTCCTCATTGCTTTTATTATAAAAACCTGGTGAAAGTTAGTTACATGAAGTGGTTGTAGGTGTTGTGTGCAGTGTTTGGCCACCCTGTCGATGGGTTTTAATTCCTCCTTGTCAGGCCCCTTCCACACTGTCCCTATATCCAGGATCTGATCACAGGTTATCTGCTTATCCCAGGTAATCTGGCAGTGGAGACATATAATCCAGTTTAAAGAAGATAATCTGGGATCAGATCCTGGGATATAAAACAGTGTAGAAGGGGCCTCAGTTAAATCCTACATCTTATGTCCTTAAAGGAGATCCATCCCCACACTGAATACTCTACGTTTGACTCAGAACACAAAAATATGCTTACCAGGCAAGTTAGATGCTTCTTCCAACAGTTCTACCACAAAAAGGTTAGAGCTTCCTCTTTGATGTCCCTAAGTCTAAGGTGTTCCAATGCAATCTGAAAACATGATCCAGGATTTATGTAAAATTGTGTCTCCTTTTTTGCTTTTAAATCCACATCTATGCTGATCAAGTGCATAAGTCAATCCTGCTAAATTAAAACCATAGTCCAACCTTTGTTTGAATATCATCTGTGGAAGAAGCTGCAAGTTGAAGGAGAGGACAAACAAGCAAGGACAAACAATACAAGTGAATTAGTAGACATATTCCTCCAGGGTTGGGTGGAGGGAGGGAGGGGACATGTACCTGACTGGCTACCTGAGGAGAGCATTCAATGCTCTACTCTTGGCATGAAATGCAATATGAATTTTTGTAATTATTTTGATGCATTTTTTTTTCAAGAGCAGTAGGATCTTCCCTTCTGAAGTACTTAAGTATAGGGCGAGGCAGGGCCAGCTGGACTTGAATAAGAGTGTGTATGCCACTCTCTTCCTCTGTGTAATATATTCAACAGCATCATGTTTCCAATAACAAATATTCTGGACACCATCGAATTTATCATTTTATTTATTTATTATTGCTTTGAGGCTTTCGTTTTAATGTTTTTTGGTTTTCGAAAAAATGTTGCTGGGAAAATAGTACTTGTTACAGGATCTGCAAATGGAATTGGAAAAGAGATTGCCAAAAATTTTGCACGTCTTGGTTCCATCCTCGTTCTCTGGGACATTGATGAAGAAGGTAACAGTGAAACAGCAGAGCTTGCCAAAGCCAATGGGGCTCTCGCCGTTTATACCTACAAGTGTGATTTGCGCAAAAGAGAAGAAATATATGCAGTGGCTGAACAGGTAAAGCTTTGTTTACGGTTCAAAAATGTTGTGTGCAATGGTTGCCCTTTAAGGAAGAAACTTTTTTTTCAAACTGAACTGTAAACATTACTTAACTATTTTGTGAGCCCAGTAAAGTTTACAAGTCAAGTAAGAGATAACATTTGGATTTAAACCATTTTGGCTGTGTTCATAAAGTTTAAAATTTGGGAAGAATTTCAATCATTCCATAGTTTCATAATAATTTACCAAACATACACTTTCCTTAATAAGAATATAATGAATTGGAATAACCTCAGTATTTGCAAAAATAGTATTTTTTCAGTGCAGTTTTGAAAATTCAACATTTTTGCAACAATCCACACATTAGAGCAATGGTAGATACTGACAGGTCTCAGTCAAATTTCCAGTGCATGAGGAAATTTCCCTCTCAGCAACTAAAAAAATATACATTTAAAAATGTGTATTTTCATTAAAATTAGAAGAATACCTCTCTTTCCAGTAGAATTGTGCTTTCTGGAACTTTCCAAGATCATATTGATTCTTCTTGCATATATTTGAACCTGAATACCTTTGAGTATTTTTTCTTTCATTAGAAGATATGGGTATAAATTTGAATGGAGTAGATGTGATAATTCAGAGACTCTCGCTTGCTAAAGTCTATGAATGACAGAAAAGATCTGTGTTTATCACTAGTATAGATTACCATACATGTAACTGCCATACATTACCATATATAATCAATAGAAGTTGATCTCATGAATAAGTTGAGATCAGGTTTGAGGACCAAATTTTGGAATTTGATATAACTTGTCCCTAACTGCCACAACTGCCAATTTCCTATCCATTGATTCAAGAAGGTCTAAAACAATGCTATGTATTTGTTGCTGTAATAAATACATAAATACACCAGAGCCCCTGGTGATGCAATGGGTTAAACCCTTGTGCTGGCAGGACTGTGAACAGGTCAGAGGTTTGAATCCGGGGAGAGCGCGGATGAGCTCCCTCTATCAGCTTCAGCTCTCCATGTGGTGACATACGTAAAACCTCCCATAAGGATGGTAAAACATTGAAACATCCAGGCATCCCCTGGGCAATGTCCTTGCAGATAGCCAATTCACTCACACCAGAAGTGACTTGCAGTTTCTCAAGTTGCTCCTGACACACACAAAAATTACATCTGTTGTTTACTTGTGTCTTTGTTGATGTTTTTCTCACAGGATGTACCAATATCCCTCCCTTCTGGAATGCTCAGAGTTGGGAGGAGCATTCCAGAAGGGATGCTTTCTCCCTTTTGCCCAGGCTGCTTCCCATATCAACCACTGGTGCAGCCACTGCTCCCTCCTCAGCTGGTGCACTCATCTCCTATACCAACTTCTCTGGCTCTGGTGATGATGTGCATCCCTCCACTGCCTCTTGGGCTATCTGTTATGCTATAGGGTTGAGCCGGAGCCATCACCAGCCTTTGGACCCACTTTGGCTATAGTGCTGCTCAGAAACTGAAGGAAAGGAATGATAGATTGAGTCAGGCCCGTAGCCAGGATTTCGTTTCGGGGGGGGCTAAAAAAAATTTCAGGGGGGGTTTCGGGGGGGGCTGAGTTTCGGGGGGGGGGCTGAGTCTGAGTGAAAGAGGGTCTAGCCTAGCAAACCTTTTGTATCATTACCCCAATACCCCCATGCATATGGGATATATTGAGTATGGTGATCAGATCATGATATGAATAAATATAACAGTTTAAATAATGCACCAATAAGGCCTTTTCGCGAACCACCATGAAAATTTCGGGGGGGGCTGAAGCCCCCCGCCCCCCCCCCCCCCGGCTACATGCCTGGATTGAGTGGTTGAAGGAAAGGAGCACACAGCTGCTACTGCCAGCAGATCTTGAACAGGAGTGCAAGCACGGAGCCTCATCAGCCGGACCGGGAGTGGCAGCAGTGGCCACAGTAACCACAATAGCTGAGATGTTTGGTGGCCTGAAAAAAGGGGAAAGAGTAGTATCCCAAGTTAACCACCCCTTCCCCAATCTGAGCAGCTCAGAAGGAAGTTAGCTTAGTCCATCCCCGTCTGCTCTCTGCCATGGCAGGAAATACCAAAGAGCCACAACCACAGACATTTTTTCAAGCCAGCATTACTGAAGGCCAGAAGTAGTGACAGGCAAAGGTGTCGAATTAACCCATTTATAAACTGATCAAGCCAATTTTGCTTGTCAAAAATGTTTCCGTTCATACATGAGTATGTATGATACAAGGAGCCCACCCTGGCACAGTGGGTTAAATCGCTGAGCTGCTGAATTTGTTGACAGGAAGGTCAGGTGCTCGAATCCAGAGAGCAGAGTGAGTTCCCACTGTTAGCCCCAGCTTCTGCCAATCTAGCAGTTTGAAAACATGCAAATGTGAGTAGATCAATGGTACTGCTTCTGCGGGAAGATAACGGTGCTCCATGCAGTCATACTGGCCACATGAGCTTGGAGGTGTCTACAGACAATACCGGCTCTTCGGCTTGGAAACTGAGATGAGCACCAACCCCCAGAGTCAGACACATCTAGACTTAATATCAAAGGGAAACCTTTACCTTTGCCTATGTATGATACATTTAATGTTATACAAATATAATCTTCCAGGGTTGGAAGGGATATTCTCTGCCACCGTTCACTGGGGTCCTACAGAAAATCACAATATGGCTTTCAGGATCCTATGCAACCCTCTCTCACTATTTTGCCCATTCCTTTTGTAGGCTGTGTCAGAGCATGTATTGGAGATGACATTGAAAGTTTTCCTTTTTACTTCTGTAGGTTAAAAAAGAAGTAGGAGATCCAGAGATGCTAATCAATAATGCAGGTATAGTAAAGGCAATGGCCTTTGAGGATCTTACTGACTCGGATATACAAGAAACACTGAAAGTCAATACTGAAGCCCATTTCTGGGTAATCATTTTTTTTCTTTTTTTTACATTAGAATTTTATTAATTTTATATAGATTACAATGAAAGAATGAGAACAATAAAGTATAAGAAAGTGAGGAAATGAAGAAGAAAAAAGAAAAAAGAAGAAGCAAAAAGTATGCTAAAATCCCAAATAACCCCTAAAAAAAATTAAAATAAAATATAAAATAACTACAAAAACACACAAAAAAAGAGAAAAGAAAAACAAAAAAAATGACTTCCATTCCATCTTCTTGGATCATATCTTCTTATTATTCAAAAATATAAAATAAGTTCTAAACGAAATTGTCTCTCTTGTTTCTTATTTTCCCAATTTGTCCAGATATTCATGGAGATTATCCCAGTTCGTTCTTCTTAGTATCATACCTGTATTTTTCTTCAACAAAAAAGTCAATTCATCCATGTCCTATCTCATCCCGTATTTTCTTCTTTGTGAATTGGACTCGGTATATTTGATCCACCTCTTGCTCAAGCTCATCCTCCTCCACCTCCAAGACCCTGGCCAGGAGATTTAACACTGTTGACCTTATGTCTTCCTTTGAATCTTCTTGCATATTTCTTAGCCTTAATTGATAATCCATTTGTTTTTGTAGTAATTTTTCTTGTTCTAATTCCATTCTTTCTTTTTGTTTCTCCAGTGACTTAATTTTCTTCATAATTTTCGCCTGTGTCTCATCTGTTTCAATTTTTCCCGCTTTTAAAACTTCCACCTCGCCTGCCAGATTGTTTAGTTCTTTCTTCAACCCTCCAAACTCTTCCTTCATTTCTTTTTTCATATCTTTAAGATCCTTATCTAATTTCTTGTAATGTTCTTCTTGTTTTTTGTAGTATTCTTCTTGTTTGTCTGTCATATCCTTCTTCATGGCATCTTGTTTTTCAGAAAGCTTCTTAATCTCCTTTAGAATATTCTCCATATTCACCCCTCTATCTAAAGATCCTCTTCTCAGCTGTGTCTATGTCTGTAATTCCTTCTCCTTTTCTTTCTCTGCTTTCCCCTTTGTTGACATTTAAAAGCCAATTCACTTTCTTTAACTGCTTGTAATTGCTTATAACTTGTTTCACTTATTGTTGCAATTTCTATATGAGTAGATTTGTATTTTATTCTTAATTAAATTCCAGTTCATTAAAAATTAATATATATTTAATCAATTATTCAGTTAATCAACTAATTTAAAATTAATCAATTAATTTGAATACAATTTAATTATTTTCCTCCCATCCATTAATCAGTTAATCAGTTAATCAATTAATCATTAATTTCCCTTCAATTAATTCATCAATCAACTTTGGAGTAAGATCTGAGTATGCTTTTAAAGATTTAAAAGCCTCTAATTAATTTTATTAATTTTGTTATCGTCTGCTTCTCGGCCTGGTCTTATTTTGCGTCTGCTTCTCGTCCTCGTCCGCTGCCCGTCTGCTTCTCCTCCTCGTCCATCGATCGTCTACTTCTCCTCCTCGTCTGTCACCCGTCTGCTTCTCTTCCTTGTCTTTATTCTTTAAATTCCTCCTTTATTGCCCTCAGAGAATGATCTGTGTCTTAATTATTAGACCACTTCCTAACTCCGTTTGCCTCTTCCGGCCTTCTTTGCTTTGCTATCTTCTTCACTTCTGCCCTTGTGCTCTTATGCTCTTCTCTGCCCTTTAAAACCTTTTTGGACCTTTGGACTACCACTCCCAGCCTGCACTGCTCTCTTCTTCCTGTGTTGTTCCACAGCAGCCTTCCGTTTCGTCAGTTCCTATCTTGCTTTTCTTCAATTGTTTATAAAGAAGGCCAGCGTAGACCAAACAACAATGGAGCCAAGGTCGTTTCTCCTCACACTGTAAGCTAATTCACTTTCTTGTAGTGCCCATTAAAGTCTCTAATTTAGATAGCAGTGCGGGGGTGTAGCCTAATGTTTAGAGGAGAGTACAAGGGTCCCGATATTTATAAAGTTCTATTTTCTTTGATACTTTTAAAAATACTTATACCAAATCCTTTAGACTTTAAAGTTCATCTAATTTAAAATCAACTTATAAAAACACTCTTCTTATTATAGATTCTCTCCTTTACTATCTTCTTCTTTTCTCCTTATAAAAGTACTTGATTTAATCCCTCTTTGCCTAGATTCCGAGGGGTAGGTCCCTCCCCCTCTTATATTACCTTGAAGATGAAATTTCTTCTTTCAGGAACACAGTCCCTTTAGCCCCCTAACGTGGGGGTTCATTCTTCTTTAGAATTCTTATCTTAAAAATGGGGTGGAGGCGGTTGGACAAGCTCAGCCAAGCCTGATCCTGTAGAGCAGCCCACTCCCCTTTTGGTGCTCTCAGATCCTTCAATTCCCCCTTAATAGGGGGGCCTTGGGGTCTTCAAAGCACCCAGGGGATTTACGATCACCTTCGCCTTCGATCTGGTCAAAGGTGGGGAGCTATAGCTCGACCTCGCCACTCAAAACAGGTCCTCCCTGAGAGAGCTTTCCCTCAGCGAGGCTTCCCTGGCACCATTCCCACCGGAATGTAATTTCTTGTAATCATGAAACCATCTTGAATTCGTGTTTTCAAAAACTGTAATATTTGAATTTAAGTATTTCTGAGAAATCAAGGTGTAGCTGGTGTTAGAAAATAAAAATCTACAAATTCTCTGTTTTCATTAGCATTGTGGTATTAAGTAACGTATAACAACACTTTTGTGCTTATTAGTAAAGGAGGAACACTGGTTTCTCTGCTACTTTTTTCTTGAGGTGTAGATTTGCAGGTCCAGGTATTGGGGATACACTTGAGGCCCCCATCAACAACAACAGACACACTGAGTCCAAAATGAAGGCTCCATATGAGGATTGCTAAGAGGCCTCCCTTTCTTTGGTAGCTTACCTTTAGTTTAAGAAGTCACAGTGAGTAGGTGGCTAATGTTTCAGGTCCTTTAGCAAGTCAGACATTTAAGATGGAACTGGTCAAGATTCAGGACACCAGGGCAAAGTACCATGGGTTCCTTACTGTGGAGCAATGAGCTACAGTGAGGGCCTCCTACAAGAAAAACATTGCCACTATGGGATAATAGGACTTACAACACATTAAGACCAGGATCTGTCATACATCGTGGTGAATCTGGTAGGGCCCGACATAGGGTGTGGTGAACCTGTCACCTTGCTCTCCACATTGCCTGGCTTTTCCTTCACCCATCCCATAGGGGGAAGCATCAGCCTCTTGGCTCCCCCCCCCCCAATTGTTGCCTATGTAACATAGGAAACCTTCTATGTTCCGCCACAGTGGCTTATGGCACTCCCTCTTCACTTGTGCCACAGAGCCCTGTCGGAAGTAGATCTATGTCATGGAAAGGGAGCCAGTGGGCTCCGAGCTGCAAATGAAGAGGAAACATCATAAGATGGGCAATTTTGTCCATCTTATGACTATGTCAGGAAAAGAGACCTCTTTTAAAGGTCCTTCACACCCCTCTCCTTTGAGCATAAAAGAGGGAGTAAGGGATCAAAATATCCAATCCAACCACTGATGCCCTTGTTTAACGCCCTTGGGCTTCATCACACTAGAGAGAAAAAATCCACTTAAAATCTGGTTTCTGTCTCCTCCTTTCTGTCTTCTGGGGTTTGTAGTTTAGGGAGGAGCCTTTAACAGTCTCACTAAACAACAAACCCCAGAATTCTGCAGAAGGCAGAAACCGGATTTTAAATGGATTTTTTCTCTAGCGTGATTATCACTCTATTGCCCTTGTTAGATAATATTCTGCAAACAAGACCCAGCATCAAATGACCAGGCAGCCATGTGATCAGACACTTGATTATTTCTCATTCTATTACATTCAGCCCACATATCTGCAATTTGTTGTTCATTCGTTCAGTCGTCTCCGACTCTTCGTGACCTCATGGACCAGCCCACGCCAGAGCTCCCTGTCGGCCGTCACCACCCCCAGCTCCTTCAAGGTCAGTCCAGTCACTTCAAGGATGCCATCCATCCATCTTGCCCTTGGTCGGCCCCTCTTCCTTTTGCCTTCCACCTTCCCCAACATAATTGTCTTCTCCAGGCTTTGCTGTCTCCTCATGATGTGGCCAAAGTACTTCAACTTTGTCTCTAGTATCCTTCCCTCCAGTGAGCAGTCGGGCTTTATTTCCTGGAGGATGGACTGGTTGGACAGACATGATATAACCCTACTATTGCCATTCTAATGTAACAGAATTATTTTCTTTCAGCAAACCCTTTCAGTTAATAATGATCAGTTGATTAGTCAGTCAAATAATGTGCTATTTTCATGTGTTATTAACAAGTTCTTGATCCATTTTTATTTTTAAAAAAACCTTGTCTAATGCCAGCATATGTTCTTTAATTGTAATGACTTGTCTCATGATTCTGCTAAATTGAATATTGGAATGACATGAAGCATGCCTGCTATTAATGATGACTTACAATTATGCCACAGACCTGCAAAGCCTTTCTTCCAGCTATGATTGCAAACAACCAAGGCCATTTGGTTACTATTTCTAGTTTAGCAGCCTTATTTGGGGGTGCTAAACTCACAGGTCAGTAAACTATCTATTTATTTTATGTACAGTTATATATTAAAAGATAATTGTGATAATTAGACTGGAATCAGTGCAAACCAAGCATTTTGCCACCTCTTCACAGTAGGCATTTTTGCCCTGTTTTCCCACTTGGCCTGCCATGTGCTATAACATGATGTACGGCAGGCTCCATCCACTTTCCTCCAAAGTCAGGGGAAGCTCTGAAAGGCACTTCCTCCATGATTGTGGGCAGGAAAGTATAATTTAGGTAGCTCCTTCCTTTCCCTTTACCCATGTGATGGAGGAAAGGGCAGTGGGGCAGCATACGTGATTTGTAATTTGTCAAAGTAGTTACTAGAAGAAGGAGTCAGTTTGAGAAAGAATTGGGGAAGTATATCTGTATATATGGGGGTGTAATATTCCTTTTTGATAATACAAAAACATTTTTCATCAGCATATACTAGGACAGGAAGCACAGAACATCTATTAAAAGCAAGAAAACACAATCATAAATCAATAAAAGGCAGTAATATAATCATGATGCCACTAGAAATCCCCAGTCAAGCGATCCAGTTCAATTACAAGTTTGGCAACAGTTACACCTTTGTAGAGAATATTTAATAAACAGTTGGCATACTATAAATAAAAGGCATTGTGAGATTCCTAGAGAGAATAATCTGATCCCATTTCCCTACACATGTTAATGTTATAGCAGAGACATTATGTGCTATTTGAAATACGTAGTTATCTTTAACGCAAAGTACATTTTAGTATTAAATGTACAAATCTCCTTGAGAGTAAACTCCTTGGTAAAAAAGACAGTTGTTAGTGATGCAATAGATCTCAATTGCTGTCAAACAAGCAAACTTGCATTCTAGAGCAAATGCGCTCCAAATTCTACTGCATCCATTCCTGCACTCTGCCAATTGATACCGAGATACCTCAACTGGCATCCTGTTGGCTAGTCCTAACCAGAGTAGATACATGAGATCAATATTTGAAAGGTGAGTTAACACATAGATAAAACCAAATTATTTAATGACACTTCCCCAATCAGGAATAATAGGATTGAGGCCAGGGGTTCTTAACCAGGGGATCATGGGCCTCTTGGGGTCCACGGAAAGATTCCAGGGGGTCCGTGAACTTGAACTGAAAAAGAAAATCAATTTATTATCTTAATTTTTTTATAATCTCTAACTAAAATCTTGCATTTCCTTCAATTGTGGACACATGCAATAAATTGCAGTAGTATTAATTTCATGTCACATTACAGTGGTTGCATGTCTAAAAAATTGCTTATGCTCATCCATACTTTGAAATTACAGTATTTGTCAGAGCCGGTACTTGATTGCATGTGATCACAGTCCTGCTGTGTGTACAAACTATTGTGCAATGTAGTTGGCCAACAATCTGGCAACATGAAATATGTAATATACATTCTGAGAAGGGATGCATGGAACAAAATAGCTCTTCATTTAGGCCATTAATTCAATACATAAATTCCCTACAAAAAGAAATGAACAATAATGTGTGCATAGAAAGGTTAGTATGCTACAGTTTTGTCAATCCTTTCCCCAGATGGAGCAAATTTTAAAGTGGTGGGTGTTACCACAGAATACCATTCAACCATATGTGTTCAGGAAAAGTTAAGCCACACATAGTCTCTGAACATCTGAAGAACCCTCCGCTACATAACACATGAGAAAATGGCATGCTGCTTTCTGTGCCCCACTTGTACCCCTCAAAAGCTTTCAATCAGGGCATGAAAACAAAACTGGCCCACCATTGTTCCCAGTTTCTGGTGCTAGGATAGTGTCTGTAGATCTGTACATAGAAGTTTCCCTTCTCTCTTATAGCCATTGGTCAGCTTATTGTCTGTTGTTTAATCCTTTTTGCAGGATATCTGCAACATTTTCAAATGTTTGTCTGGAAGCAAATTCTATAAACATTTCTGATTCTATATTTTTCATATTATTTCTATAGGTATCATATATATTCATTCCCATGTTTCTCCTTCCTGCATTTTTCAGATTATTGTGCTAGTAAATCTGCAGCATTTGGGTTTTTGGAATCTCTTGCTTTTGAAATGACAGCTGCTGGAAAGAAGGGTATTAAAGCCACCATTGTCGTTCCTTCTTTTGTGGAAACAGGATTCGTTACTGGGGTAAAAGCCAGGTAAGCACTGTATTTTGAAGTAACTTATAATAGTGGATGTTTACACATAATTCAATAGCTATCCACGGTGTGAGAAGTATATCAAAGGATTTAAAATGCCATATCTGAATTTCTAAATAGATTTGCTATGAGCATGAGATTCCCCTGCTCAAGCAACAGAAGTAAAAAATGGTATGGATGTACAGAGTCCTTGTGGGTTTTGACTTTGAAGTGCAGATGACACCAAACTGGAAGAGGGAAGCAAATTTTGTCCAAGAGCACAATTTACAATGATTTTAATAGATTGGATGTTGAGCCAAAAGTAACAAAAATGAATTTCATCAAAATACTACATCTAGGCAGGAAAAAATGAAATGCTCCAATCCAGAATGAGTGACATGAAAAGGATCTAGGGGTCTTCACAAACCAGACTAATCACGAACCAACTGTGAGATGTGGTAAAAAATCCAATGCAGTTTCAGACTGCTTCAGCAGTAGCATACTGCTGAAGGAAATAACAATACCTCTATATTCTGTTTTGGTCAGACCTGACATGAAACAGTTAGAACTTGTCCAGAGAAAGGTAACTAAGGTGATCTGGACATCAAATCTTATAAAGAGCAACTTAGGGAACTGGACATAATTATCTTGGACACCACCTATTCTTTATTTATTTATTTATTTATTTATTTATTTATTTATTTATTTCTGTCCCACTTTTCTCCCAGATCAGGACTCAAAGCAGCAAACAACGTGTAAACAAAAACAGTACATAGCATAAAACAAAACATTACATAGCATAAATCCAAAAAGCGGAATGAACTACCTTGAAGGGTGGTGAACTCTCCATTGGATATTTTTAAACAGAGGTTGGATAGGCATCTTTCGGAAGTGTTTTGGTTGTATGTTCTTGCATTGTGGTCTCTTCCACCTCTGAGATTCTGTGAACAAAGGATGCATCGATATGGGCATCCTCCCATATGGTCCAGTTAGGCTGAGTTCTCGTGGATTCCACTGGACTTTCACCTCACTATTGATGTTACCATTGCTGCTCCCAGATGACTCCAGAGCTTCATGTGAGCTCCTGATCTTCAGTGGTACCAGATCTCCCTATCTTCTTTCTGATCACACAGGAATCTCTGCTGATGTTAGCCATATTCCACATGGCTCTGTAGACTACTGACAACGGATGAAAGTCATTATGTACATGATTGTTCTAAATATGAGAGGCTATTTCCAGGGCTCTCACAATGGCCAAGAGCTCACACAGATCACTGCAGACATCTGAGAGTGGTGGTGGCAGTGGCACGGGCACTGTCCATCCTGTAATATCTGCACTGATGAGCACAGAGAAAAGGCACTGGTGGCAGTGTCCTATTTGGAAAGTGGGCTGGTCTGAATCAAACTCAGTCCTGTTATCCATACTGCGCCAAAGCTGCAAGATTACCCTGGCGTTTCAAGCAAACTTTGGACCATCCTCTGATTTTTTCTAATGCCAACGAAACCAGATTAAACTGTTTTAATTCATGTTTTACTAGAAGTGGAGAAACATTGAGGAGAAGCCAGAAGTTAACTCAGTTTGAGTTTAGGTTATATGCCCATGTAGACGAGCCATAGGAGTTCCCTGCCAGACCTATGTGTTTTTATAGAAATGGGAAAAATTCATGTTATTGAGTGAACTTTTTAATATCTTTCTCCAGCAGGCCACAGCTGTTTCCTGTCTCGGTAAACTATGTGGTAAAGAAGATTGTGGATGGTATTCTGAAAGAGGAACTTTATGTGGTCCTGCCATCATATGCAAGACTAAATGTTTTGAAAATGTAAGAATGTATTCCTCTTGACACTAGTCTTCTTTGTGTTCAATGTAAGAATGTATTCTTCTTGACATTAGTCTTCTTTGTGTTCAAATACAGAGACGATATGGTGTAGTGATACAGCAAGGTTTCATGGCTGAAGCATTGGACTGTGACTCCAGAGTTTGAATGCCTGCTCAGCCAGGGAATCCCACTGTGTTACCTTGAGCAAAACATACTTTCTCAGCCTCAGAGAATGGAAAAGGATTTTTTAAACTCTTGAGCATATAATGATGAATACCCTAAGCCTAACCAAATTGTCACGAAATATGTTTTCTTTCTTTCTGAAATAGTGTTTTATGGATTTATAGTCCATAAAGTCTACATTTACATTTCATAAATGCAGCAAACCTATATATATATCTGTAGGGACTCAAGGCAGCTTACATATACAGGCAACAATTAGATGCCAAAAAACACACATAATAAAAACATAAGCATCAAAATAATCATTAAAACATAATAAAACCTTAAAACCAATTATTTAAAATCATGCAATCTAATAACCTGAATACATGGTTGAAATTATGGATTACATATTTTTTGGCAGAACGTTTTCACCAAGTGGTGAAAGATGTCTGTCTATCATACCATGTGGTTTTCCTTATCTATTGCTCTTAAATATTTTCATCCTTAGTTTTGGACTTGATCCTTAGATGTGAAACCGAGGCTTCACTGGCAAGTCTGATAGCTGAAATGTCTATCTCTGAGGAAATCACATTGTGAAAGGGAAATGGGGCAACTACACACTTCCTTTCACTACTAAATTAATACACTCATAATTCTAAACTCATGAATGAATTTATGCCTTATGCTATATTGGGGGGGGGGGTGTAATAGAAAGTTTCATTCTCATGTTATGGATACTGAATTTTTTTCAGAATGTTTTTGGGTATATTCCCAATGTGGGGACTAAGACCAAAGGGGATTTCATTTTAATTTACATGATAACATCCTGTGGAATTTTGAGAGATGCAGTTTTAAGATGAGTATTCAGAATTCTTAGCTCAAAGAGTTATTGTGCCCCAGAAAATTACACAACCCAGCACTCCATAAGCTGTTAAAGTAGAATTGTTAGTGTTATAATTATATCATGGGAAAAGAGTCTTGGGATTTTTATACAAATTTTACTAAGGGGGGGGGGGGGAGAGATTTGAACAAAATGCTTTGTTCTTATGAAAAATTCCAAAGCTTTGAACAAAGCCATTGTATTTAGCATAATATTTTCACTACAGTCCTACCTCCAAACTTGTATATCACTCTACAAATCTACAACTGGGTTGGATCCATGGACAGCCCTATGGAGTCAGTTACAGTGTAGCGAGAGTATGTTAAAAATTTCCTGAAAACTCTGCCTCATCAAACTATAAATCTCAAGAATCTATGAGATGCAGCATTGACAGTGAAATGATAATGCTATTGCTAGGTATTTTATCCCTTACCTCTGTCATAAGTTTTCTTGAAGTTTTGCTGACTTGTTCTTTTTTCTGTTTCTCTGCCAAAAAATGCACCTCCTAGATATCTAAGAATACAATTACATGTTTTCCACCTACAGGAAAAAGATGAAACGATTCTGTGACTTATTATCCAAAAGAGAAAACCTTCAGGAGCCAGTCTGAAAAATTACTTGAAGCTACCTATGGCTAATATCATTAATGACAGTTTTCTTATAATCATAGGGTTACACAGAACGAGTTTATGTCTTATAACAAATTACATTCTGTGTGAAAATTGTTCAAGGATGGGAATAGCAATGTTAGTCTGATGCAGCACAAATTACAATCGTAGGGAATCCTAAAAAATTACCCGATTTTCTTTGGAATAATTACTGCGAGGCTGCAGGTTGTATTCCACTTGCCTAATATGATTACATTATGTATGGACATAAATATGATAAGCAAGTGCCCACTTTAAGTGCTTCATCATAACTTTCTTTTCCATTGGCAACATTCGTTGATACCATAGAACTGTCACAACTGTTGTATAAACTTATGTGTAAGTCAGCCTCATATATAAGTTGAGAGAGGGTTTTAGGGCCAAAATTATGAATTTGTCTATGATTCATGAAGTCAAGGGTAAAACTTAGGGGCACGTAACCCACACATTTTTCCTCACCATTTAAAAATGCATAGGTAAAGGTAAAGGTTTCTCCTTGACATTACGTCTAGTTGACTCCGACTCTTGGGGGTGGTGCTCATCTCCATTTCTAAGCCAAAGAGCCAGCGTTGTCCATAGACACCTCCTAGATCATGTGGCCAAAATGACTGCATGGAGCGTAGTTATCTTCCCATTGGGGCAGTACCTATTTGATCTACTCACATTTGCATGTTTTCAAACTGCTAGGTTAGCAGAAGCTGGAGCTATCTATGGAACCTCACCCCATCCCTTGGATTCAAACCATTAACCTTCAGGTCAACAAGTTAAGCAACTCAGTAATTTAACCTGCTGCGCCACCACAATCCCTTTAAAAATGCATAGAGAGGACATATTTAGGAAGAGCAAATGAAAAGGAGATCAGTTTATTTGAAGGCTTATAATTGGGGTGGAGTGCTATTTTCATTGTTGATCTTAAACTATCTGTATCTAAACAAATACAGAGAAGGAAAGAAAATAAAGAGGAAGACGAGTGAAAATACAGCCTGAAAAAGGGGGAAGGAAGAAGACCACAGAAAGGCACCTGTCTCTATAAGGGACCCAACAAGAAGGCAGTGACAAGAGGGAAAGATGATGGGCTAATGCTTCAATCGCCCTCCCTTGCTCAAAGGGGAAAGAAAAAAACAGCCCTCCTTCTTCAATTCTTTTTTCAAACTAAGCAAAATTCATCCTCACTCTCATTTTGAGCACTTGAGAAGAGGTGGAGCAATGGTGGTCATTTTAGTAAGAGCTTACTTCATAATCTTTTCTCTTTTACAAGAATGGGACTGATACTTTGCTGTGTAGAATGAAATACAGCAACACAATTAGAGATATTTCTTTTTTAAAGCAACACTTTTCCATTCTTTAAGCAATTTTTGGAAGACAGTTTCCTTCAGTGGCCTTAATCCTCTTCCTTTGATAGTTACCTCATCTTGCATTGTGTTTCCTCTTCAAATCGACAGTCTTGATGGAAAACGATACCAAAAGACACACTTACTGTTTATAGCAACACCACGAAAAGAAATGGGAAAGGTCTAAAAACAAAAGCACACTGCTTCTTCCTCTAGTTATAAAATATGATTTAGAGCTGGAAAGAGTAAGAGGTTTTTTTTAAAAAAAAATGTAACAACATCATTATTTTGCTGGTTCTTGCAACTAAAAACTTAAATTAGTCATCCCGGGAAGGTACTTGAAATTATCCAGTTTATCTTCTAATATGAAAACATGATTTCTTCCTTTCACAGCCTGGGATCAGGGATAGAATGAGCAACTTCCTGTCCTGTCCTAAAAATAACTTAATTTTTCAGATCTGACCAGAAATATTGTATTGTTTTCTCCCCAGATTTCTGCCTACAAAGGTGGTTTTCCTTGTTGCAGAGTTTTATGGACGTCTCAAGAACTTAGACAACTACAAAGGCCGTGTTCCAAGAGGAACAGAGGATTGAGAAATGGTGGACTATCTTCTAAATTAGAATTCCTCTTCTTAGTAATTAATGGACTTGATAATTATATGATTGACCGCTTCATACATTTTCTTCAGACCAGCTTTTATCATTCACTTATCCTCCAGATGCGTAACTTCAAATGTTAAATGTTAGATTAAAATAATTAAAATGTACTATTAATAATATTTGACTTCATTTCCTTGTACAGTTGGGATTTTCTTTAGCACTGATTCATCATTTTCCACCTGTTTTCACTAAATCCTCACTTATTATTTGATATCTCATCTCCACAGTTTTCTAAGATCCTTTTGGAACTCTTTACTACATATTTTTGTTATTGATACCCTAGACATTCCTTGCATGTGTTTTGCATTTTAGTGTATCCTGCAGTCGTCTTTTAACATATCACAACAATTGTTATCTTCATCCCTTTGCCTCAGACAGCTGACAGAAGTAACAGTTCTGTTTACAAACAAACTCCCATCATCTCCAGCTAGTCTGGCAGTAGCTAGGGATAATGGGAACAGCATTCAAGCAACGCAACAAGTTCCTGCTTTTCATGCATGCTGCCACACTCACTCGTCATACCATTTTTCCAAAGGATTTTGTGTTGTTACTACCTTGTTACAGTAAAAGCAAAGAGAAGATTGTTAGCAGATTTATATTAGCATGAATTTTTGTTTATAATCCACCCCTTATTATAATTAATGTTATGAGACTTATAAATGGAAGAGTAGTGGAGACACTAAATAGTAGTTTGTCATGGAGTTGCAGTGTTCTCTGCAGTGCCAAGTATACGGAGTCTAAAGGAAGAGAACATTTCAGGTCAAGAGGCAGAATTCTTATCCGATTGCCATTTCCCTGATTTTACAGTGTCACATTTTTTCTGCAGGTGCACCTCTGGGTGTATCTAATTGAATCCCAAACTATGTGTATCTTTAGAGCAGGCATTCTCAAATTGTGGCTCTCCAGCTGTTTTGACTGCCAACTCCCAGAAGCCCTAGCCAGCTTGTTCAATGGTCAGGAATTCTGGGAGCGGGAGGCTCAAACAGCTGGAGGGCTGAAGTTTGAGGATTCCTGCTTTAGAGATTGTGAGAGTGAACAAAAAATAAGTTACCTTTTTCAAAACATCTCCAGATGGGATTACTGGTTATGGGAAATTGGGAAGGGAAGCAGGGGAAACCTCTGGAACATAAGTGGATTCACTATCCTCAAGTCCTTCAGTTTTGGAATGAGATCACTGCCGAATTACTCAAATGATGAAGCAAAGTATACAGGTTTGAGATAATGTAATAAATTATGTTGTCTTTGATGCAGACAATAAAGGTTTACCACATAGAGTATTCATCTCTGTAATGCTTGGTACTGCTTGAGCAGAGGTATCAAGAGGGTCCATGAATTAAAAGATTGATAGACAGACTCTGGTTGCGTAAACAGAGGAGAAATTTTTAAAAGGCAACCCATTCATCAACTATACTACAGATTATCACTCAATACAAGATCCACCATCAACTCCTTTTAAATATGGGGAATAACAGACTATAAACTCTGGCTAATTTTTCTCTTTGTGTGATGACTGATAACTGAACTTTATTATAAGCAGTGATATAGGGGGGAGGCAATTACAATCAATGTAGAGGCAGTCCCCAAGTTATGAACAAGATAGGTTCTGTAGGTTTGTTCTACAGTTGAATTTGTATGTAAGTTGGAACAGGTACATTTTTGAAATGTAACTCCAACCATGCACACACTTTGGATGGCACAGGGTTAACACCGCTGTGGTGTTTGATTTTCTGTCTGTGCCCCTCTTTGGAAGATTGCACCTCACTTTCTGGCCCTGTGATCATTGGATTTTGATTAAAAAATGGCTTGTTGTGAAAACAAGAATTGGTGATAAAGCTTTATCTTTTCCCCATTATAAATTTTTCAGAAGAATATTTTCCTTCCTAGCGGTAGATTTTCTCACTTCTTGTTGTCTCACCCCTCTTTCTTAATTATGAGTAATTTATAAGTTGGGCGTTTGTAACTCAGGGACTGCCTAAATGATTTTTTTTACAAAAAAAAGGCAGAGAAGGAGGATGGTGGTATTATTATTATATTTCGACAGGAAGGGCTAACTAGGTGCAATCTTTGTGAGATGGATATGTATACGTGTATTTATAAGACACACAGGAATTATGAGAATTGTGTCCCTTGGGCCGCACCTACACAGCCCTGAAACGCAGGCTGGGAAATGGATTAGCCTGAGGCATCCCAATGACATTTGAGGCTAATTTGCTTAAAACTGGAGTAAACCGAATTTTCTAGGGTAAATCTAGGTTTTAAAATACCTCTAAAACTGGTTCTCAACCTGTGGTCTATGGACCACCAGTCGTCTGCAAGAACAAAAATATGGTGTACAGAAGTTATTGATACTGTGTATATGTTTAACTGTTAGAATATATTTGTTTTGGTAACAGTAGCTGAAAGCTAGAGCTAACTGGTTGTATCCACAGGAGGTTGCCAAGGAGACCAGGCAGGAGAAGGAGAGGTGGGCGGAGCCTAGCAAGAAAATGTTAGCTGCGTTTTGAAAAGAAGCAGTTCAGTTGGGGGTTTGGAGTCGGAGTAAGCAGTTGAGAGAGGAGAGTGGAGAAGCAGTGTGTGAATGGCCAGAGGTTTCTTCAGTCTAGGAAGGCTGAAGGGGGAAACCTAATTAGTTTCATTAGTCAGAGAGGACTAAGGGAAGCTTGTTTAGATCACTAGTTAGGAAAGAACTAGGGATCTAGGATTTGATCAAGAAAGGATCAAATAAGAAGGCTATTCACCTCAGGAACCATTGTGTATGAAAGTGCTTCACCACAGTAAAAGTCAATTACAAGTTGTATCACCCGGAAGTGTGAACTGTATTGCAAACCAAGTTACATTAAAAGTTCTCTAAGTTATGACAAGTTAACCAACAGCCTGCAACTATACGCTTTGTACAAAATAAACTTATTAACTTTTGTTTGAAGACCGTGTCATCTCCATTTATCTGCGTCTGGGGAGCCAGTTCTCATCGGCAATACCTCACGTTGGTGGCAGTTACCTGAATAACATTTATAATCATCCACACCTGAATAATTGGTAGCAGAATTTAAGAGCAGACAGTACAGTTGGTGACAGTAGGTTCTTTAAAGTTAAAAGCCCTATACCCTGTCTGTTGTTGTAATTGCAGCACCTTCGCAATTAGCACAATTGTACAACTGGTGTGTGCAGACTTTGCAAATTGGTGGCAGCCCTGTACAATTGGAGTATAACCTTTACAATAGGGCTAACGTCACCACAATGGTCCATAGCTTCATTGTTACTACAACGTTGCAACGAGAGAAACTAGTCTCACAAAACCCTCATCCAGTGCTGAGGCTTATTAAATATGGTTTTCTGTGGGCAAGCAGATGGCAACTACTGGACGGCATATGTTCTGTATCAGAAAGTAGGACTGATGTGACCTATGTAATGCAATTTTCTAAATCAGCACCCCAAATAATCAAACTGAATCTAAAGTTGACCATAAACTGATTTGCACCCCCTTTGGTACTAATGTTGGAGAATGGTCTCTGGTCACAGTGGTCCCTGGTTAAAAAAAAGGGTTGGGAACCACTGCTCTAAAGATCCGGAGCTTCCCTGGGGCCTGTGGAAACAGACACCCAGGATCACCTTCTGGTGTCCTACTGTCTGTTTCCACAGCCATTTGTATTTCCCAGACTCAGGCAGATTGGAAAAGAGAAATGCTACTTCTAGCCTCCCCCTCCCTGCCCCCCATTTTCCCCTCAGTTTACTAGAGAAAGGCTCCGATTGAAGCCTGAAGCCTTTTTCTCTCTCCCTTGAACAGCCAACAGAGGGCCTTGGAGAAAGAATCCCTCCTCCCACCCCCAAACAACACCTAAAGGTTATCTACTCATGGAACACCCTGAAAATGTTGAGGAACATTGGAATAAACTGAAGACCTCTATCAATACAGACTGTGAACAAATCACTGAATATAAACTAAAAAAATCAAGATTAGTTTGATGCGAATTATAATGAGCTTCACCATATAAAATAAAAGGAAACTTTCCAAATATGGCAAATAGACATTAACTGAAAAAAGATCTGTGCTGGTGCAAAAGCTGAAGTACAAAGAAGAACTAGAGAAGTTAAGAACATCTGGTGGACAAAGAAAGTTCAAGAAACCCTACATTTTGCTGATGTTCACAATGTACAAGGATTTTAAAAAGCCACAAAGGTGATTTATGACCCAACAAATCAAGGCATACAGCCTCGATGTTCATTTGTCATACTTTAGAACCAAAATTCTAAAGGACAAAAAATCCAATTCACTATATTGGAAAGAGCATTACTATCCATTCCTTACCCACAGTTCCAATGTGGTTGAAAAGTTTTGTTCACAAATCCCACAACAACAAACCAGGGATGAGCTTGTTGCACTACTTTAAAGGAAGCAAGTAAAGCTATTTACTAATTTAAAAATAGCAAAGCTAGCAGACCTGATGGGATCCCTGCTTTCCATAGCTGGCACAACAACTCCATAACTTTGGTGAAAATGTGTGGATCACCAAGAAGATCTCAGCAGACTTCAGGGATGCCATACTTATCACTCTTTTTAAAAAGGACAGACTGTGGAAACTATTGAGGTATCTCCCCTTTACCCTCTGTCAGAAAAATCTTTGCCAGAATCCTCACAAACCTCCTTCTATGTCTATCAGAGGACATCCTTCCTGAATCCCAAAATTACTTATGGCCCTCTAGAGGAACAATGAATATGATTTTCATTGCATGACAGCCCCAAGAAAAATGTAGGGAATAAGATCAACCTTTGTACATGGCATTCATTGACATTGCAAAGGCCTTTGATATGATAAATCGTAATGGACCATCCTCTTAATAATCAGATGCCCTGATAAATTTGTGATCGCTTTGTGGCTCCACCACAATGACATGACAGCAGCAGTTTTAAACAGCAACAGTTCCCAAAGTGACCCATTTAAAATGCAATCAGGTATGCGTTATTGCCCCAACATTATTTTCTACCTTCATCACATGATTCAACATCTATACATGTGAACAAACCTGCAGTTTATGTTTGTATCTGTACATGTGGATCAGGTGCCTTATCACTATTGTAAAGAACTGCCTATTTATTTATTTATTTATTTATTTATTTCTCGCATTTCTATCCCGTCCTTCTCAACCCCTGAAGGGGGACTCAGGATGGCAAAACTACCTAGTAGTTTTGCCAGATTAGCATCTTTTCAACATGTGGATATTTTAATTGCTTTCTCCTGCAACAATATAGGTCAATTAGAAGAACAATTTCTCTAACAAATGGGAGAGGAGGAAGGGAAAGATCACACACCTGAATACCTGGGGAGATCTAATCCAGGATATAATGTTCTGCTTTCACATAAAATGTAATATGAAATTCAGCAAATGTCTCCAAGGCTTTTCCTCTCACTTAAGTGCAGGATAAGACAGGATCAGCTTGAATATCTTGTCACATATCCATATGCATAATCCTTCTAAATTACAGTCTTAACCCCTTGTTTGAATGTTGTCTGTATGATGAAATATAATTGTAAGTGGGAGGAGAAGAAAATGGGCTTCCCAAGGACACTCTCAAATAAGCAATGTGTTTGAAATATTTTTCCCCACACCAGATTAGACAGTAGCAATTCATACTGAGAGGTTGAGTCCAAAGAATCAACTGCAAAGTTCTTATAAAAGAAGACCAAACCTTTCAAGAAAAAATAATTGATGATAATGTTACTAGTTAATTATATAATGTTTAAATTAGAAAATAGAATCAACAGAATCATGTTAATAATAAGAAGTATATTGGACACCATCGAATTTCTGATTTTATTTTGCTATTACTGTTTGGAGGCATTCATTTTAATGTTTTTTTGTCTTCAGAAAAATGTTGCTGGAAAAATAGTGCTTGTCACAGGATCTGCAAATGGAATTGGGAAAGAGATTGCCAAAAATTTTGCACGTCTTGGTTCCATCCTCGTTCTCTGGGACATTGACGAAGAAGGTAACAGTGAAACAGCAGAGCTTGCCAAAGCCAATGGAGCTCTAGCCGTTTATACCTACAAGTGTGACCTACGCAAAAGAGAAGAAATCTATACAGTGGCTGAACAGGTAAAGCTTTCTTTATGGTTCAAAAATGGCATGTATAACTATTGCCCTTTTAACTAACCAAGTGTTTTAAAAATTGAACTGAAATTATTTTATTATTCTGCAAGTCAGGAATGCTTCCAGTTGAAAAGACAGGTCAGAGAAAATACCTTTATGTAAAACATATTAGGCTGCAGTCATAATAACTAGCTTTTGGAAGATTTCATTGATTTCCCATTTTGACAATTTATCCAATGTGCCAGATATTATGTGAATTCAAATACAAAATGACAAAATTCCAGTTCCACAACAGGGTGTTCCTCCTGGTATTATTTTAAACAATAAAAATAAGACATTTTAATAATTGGGCAGTTTTTATATCCGTAGTTCATTTTCCTTCCTCCTACACACATAGTTTCAATCTTTATTCAGTCTCTCTTTCTTCCTGCCCCCCCCTTGTAAAGGCTATTTTATTCATTTATTTTTTAATTATTTATTTACCCAATTTATACCCTGCGTTTCTCTACCGTGAAGGGGACTCAAGCCGCTTTCATGTGGCAGTTATTCAATGCCTTAAACACTTTGTTGTTGTTCATTCGTTCAGTCGTCTCCGACTCTTCGTGACCTCATGGACCAGCCCACGCCAGAGCTCCCTGTCGGCCGTTACCACCCCCAGCTCCCTCAAGGTCAGTCCAGTCACTTCAAGGATGCCATCCATCCATCTTGCCCTTGGTCGGCCCCTCTTCCTTTTGCCTTCCACTTTCCCCAGCATAATTGTCTACTCTAGGCTTTCCTGTCTCCTCATGATGTGGCCAAAGTACTTCAACTTTGTCTCTAGTATCTTTCCCTCCAGTGAGCAGTTGGGCATTGTCTCCTGGAGTATGGACTATTTTGATCTTCATGCGGTCCAAGGCACTCTCAGAATCTTTCTCCAGCACCACAGTTCAAAAGCATCTCTTCCTTAGCTCAGCCTTCCTTATGGTCCAGCTCTTACATCCATAGGTTACTGCGGGAAATACCATTGCTTTAACTATGAGGATCTTTGTTGCCAGTGTGATGTCTCTACTCTTTACTATTTTATCGAGATTGGACATTGCTCTCCTCCCAAGAAGTAAGCGTCTTCTGATTTCCTGGCTGCAGTCTGCATCTGCAGTAATCTTTGCACCTAGAAATACAAAGTCTGTCACTGCCTCCACGTTTTCTCCCTCTATTTCCCAGTTATCAATCTTTCTTGTTGCCATAATCTTGGTTTTTTAAATGTTTAGCTGCAGCCCAGCTTTTGTGCTTTCTTCTTTCACCTTGATTAGAAGGCTCCTCAGCTCCTCCTCGCTTTCGGCCATCAGAGTGGTGTCATCTGCATATCTGAGGTTGTTAATGTTTCTTCCAACAATTTTCACCCCAGCTTTGCATTCATCAAGCCCCGCACATCGCATGATGTGTTCTGCATACAAGGTGAATAGGTTGGGTGAGAGTATGCAGCCTTGCCGTACGCCTTTCCCAATCTTGAACCAGTCTGTTGTTCCGTGGTCAGTTCTTACTGTTGCTACCTGGTCCTTGTACAGATTCCTCAGGAGAGAGACAAGGTGGCTTGGGATGCCCATCCCACCAAGAACTTGCCACAATTTATTATGATCCACACAGTCAAAGGCTTTAGAATAGTCAATGAAGCAAAAATAGATGTTTTTCTGAAACTCCCTGCCTTTCTCCATTATCCAGCGGATATTGGCAATTTGGTCTCTCGTTCCTCTGCCTTTTCTAAACCCAGCTTGAACATCTGGCAACTCTCGCTCCATGTATTGCTGGAGTCTTCCTTGCAGGATCTTGAGCATTACCTTACTGGCATGAGAAATAAGGGCCACTGTACGGAAGTTTGAGCAGTCTTTCGCATTTCCCTTTTTTGGTATGGGGATATAAGTTGATTTTTCCAGTCTGATGGCCATTCTTGTGTTTTCCATATTTGCTGGCAAATGGCATGCATCACCTTGACAGCATCATCTTTTAAGATTTTAAACAGTTCAGCTGGGATCCCGTCATCTCCTGCTGCCTTGTTGTTAGCAATGCTTCTTAAGGCCCATTCAACCTCACTCCTCACACTTACACTACATTAAACACTTACAATACATTAAACTTAAAATTCATATATTTAAAACTTTTTAAAACATTACATATAACATTAAAATCACTTTAATAAATGAGAATAAGTATTGAACATGACTACTCAATATTTCCTTTTTGTAGGTTAAAAGGGACTCCTCACACTTACACTACATTAAACACTTACAATACATTAAACTTAAAATTCATATATTTAAAACTTTTTAAAACATTACATATAACATTAAAATCACTTTAATAAATGAGAATAAGTATTGAACATGACTACTCAATATTTCCTTTTTGTAGGTTAAAAGGGAAGTGGGTGATGTAGAAATCCTAATCAACAATGCAGGTGTGCTGAAAGGAAAGACTTTCGTTGATCTTCTTGACTCAGATATAGAAGAAACATTAGAAGTGAACATTGCTGCTCATTTCTGGGTAATTCTTTTTTTCCCCTTTAAAACTACAAGGGATTGTCTTGCCAGTAAATATGTGGTTAAAGTTTCGCATATGGCATAGTGGTTTGAGTATATGACTAAAATTCTGATTTATTGGACTTTGATTTCATGGTAAATTCATACTTTATCATGAAAACCAAACTGTTTACTTTGTGAGAGTGGGCACATCTACACTTCAATGGTGATCAGCTCCATGGCAGCTGAACGAAACATGGAGGTTATTCAGGCAGCTCAGGGGTGCTTAACATGGACTTGAACTTCATCAGCAACGGTCACAGATTGCTCTGAATTCTCCCCTATGAGTCTGGAGCAATGTAATCTTGAAGCCTGAAGCGTTGTGTCTTGAACCTTGAAAGATGAACTGTACCCTAGGTGTTGGAATGTGGGCTATTCTTGGAAATTGTTTTGGTGATCTCTTTTAGCTTTGGAATACTTCTGTCAGTTTTCTCTGTGCTGCTTTCACTAACACTAAAGCACCAAAATGTTAATATTTTAGACGTTTCTTGTAATGACAAGATATACTAGAAAGCAGTGAAATATATAACGGCTTATTTATTGAACTTAATTTTGATTTTCAGAGATTCACTGGGCAGGATTCTGACATAATTAGTCTAGGAACATCATCACATGAAGTTTGGGACACTTCCAGGATGGAGCCACAATGGAGCCCATCACATGACAAAGGGCTACTTCCAGCCAGGCTCTGTCCTGGAAGCAACCTATGATGGAGCCCAAAGAACATGAGAGGCTTCCTGAGTCCTCATTGCTTAGAATGGGGCCAGTCTGAGGGGAAGCCAAGAGGTGATGCTTTCCCCAGTGTGATGGGGAAAGCAGTGATGCCGACAATGTAGGTTTTAGGACAACAGTTTCTCTGCTGCCCCACAGATTTCCTATGCTACCCAGCAAACCCAACTCCCTCCCCCCCCCCCCATCATCTGTGTTTGGGACCTCAATGTTATGAGGTTCTTAAAGACTACAGTGAGTATGAGGCTAACACATAGCATTTTGGCTATTTCTGAAGGAGGAAGTCAGAACTTGGGATCCTAGGACCTGGTGTTCTGGGACTCTTCCAATGCAAAGCCTTTCTTGCTACTCTATCAGTCTTGCTTAATACCACACAGGAGTGACATGATACAAAAACACATGACAAGCCAGGCAGCCATGTGATGGTAATGAGATTCTTTCTCTTTTTACAACATTCAATCCACTCTCTTCACAATGAACAATGTGGGGAAATCCAATTGTTGTATTTTGTTCATTGCATATTTTCAGATACTACTTATGTTCAATTTTCATCATTATGAATTGCAAGTAATGTGCTACTTTTTAAATATACTATTTCCCAGCATAAAGATCCTGAAGCAAGCTACCATATATCCTTTACAGTAATGTTTTATTTCTTGAATCTGAAGAGGCAAACATGAAACATGCCTAATTGTTGTTGTTCATTCGTTCAGTCGTCTCTGACTCTTCGTGACCTCATGGACCAGCCCACGCCAGAGCTCCCTGTCGGCCGTCACCACCCCCAGCTCCTTCAAGGTCAGTCCAGTCACTTCATGCCTAATATTGCATGCCTAATATTAAACATACCCAATTTTAATAATGATTTACTAATTGTATCACAGACTTGCAAAGCCTTTCTTCCAGCCATGATTGCTCGCAATGAAGGTCATTTGGTTTCTATTGCTAGTGTAGGAGCACTAGCAGGGAGCAATAAACTCACAGGTCAGTAAACTATATATTTCTTCTTTCTCCATGCTATCAAAACATAGATTCTAGGAAAACTGGTATAACTGGAATTTAATCTGTGTAAACCATTGCATCTTAATTTAGGAGAAAATTAGAAAAACATACAATTGGATTAATGAGCCAGTGTGATGCAGCTATTTGAGTGTTGGATTAGGACTTCAGTAGAACATTTCCACATGGCCATGGAAACCCAATGAAAATTAGACCTTTTCAGTCTCAGAGGAGGACAGTGACAAACCTCTTAAAATCTTGCTAACTTATTTCTAAAGACATTGTAGGTGAAATATCTGGCCATACACAACAGATGCCTTAAACAGAAATACATGTTTGTATCAGTCTTACTTAGGCTTAAACATGTTTGAAAATAATCACAGCTTTATCTAAGAAAAATGTGTGAGGTCTGGCTTGCTATAAAAGAAAGAAACATCTATAAAGAAACAGTAATATTAGAATTGGAAAAATAACATGTTATGATTTTTGTACAGTTAGCATGCATGCTATGACTTCTTTCCTTTTCAGAAGGCCAAGGTTTTCAAGGGGAGAGTTATGGAAGGGAATATACAAATATGAAGTACTCGAAATTCACTGAAAAAGTTGTAACAAATGTTATTCCTGAGCATTTATATAAGCCATCAGAACACAACCCGAAAAATAATTCTGTTATTCTTTATTCTACCAACACTTTTTAGAAGCTTCCACAATTATTTTCAGAATCTGTTAGAGATGAGTATGTAAACTCTCTGTGTACAGGTATCCCTATTCCTCCTTAGTCATTAGGCAGTCTATTTTCCTTTGTCCAGTACTTTTTTAAAGGTATCACTATTATTTTTACATGAATTTCTGGGAGTCAATTGCAAAAATGTCAGCTGAATATAGCAACAATTTCCTACTACAACGTTGGTTGCTTATTTGCTTAATTATGTTTAAGTCTATTTTCGACACAATGTTAAAATATTATCTGCCTTCATATTTTTCACATTATTTCTATGCATTTGATTAAAAATATAACATATCCTGAATTTTTCAGATTATAGTGCAAGTAAGTCTGCAGCATTTGGATTTTTGGAATCTCTCGCTTTTGAAATGAGAGCTGCAGGAAAGAAAGGCATTAAAACCACCATTGTCCTTCCTCCATATGTCTACACAGAATTGGTTACAGGAGTACAAACAATGTAAGCACTGAATTTCAAGTAGTGGCACTTTCGCAGATGTTATCAGTGCCTAAATACAGAGCTTGGACACATAAAATGGGATCTGTGATTTATCATCAATTGCTTTTGTAATCAGGGGTGGGAGCTCATATACATGTACAGAAAAATCTGGGACTTATCTGAAGCATTTCCGCACTGTGCCAGCCCCAGATTCCCTGAACTGCAGCAACAGAAGTGGGAGCAAAGACCTTACCACCCAGTCAAATTAATCTCAGGGCTACCCCACTGGGTGGTCAGGCTTGCAATCTCATCATACAGGCTAATGTTCCCATCATTTGCTACATACTCTCCCCTTTTGCCATGGAGGAGAGTACATGACGTACACTGAATTTTAGCAAGGCTCCGAGGCAACAGGAGAGAGCAAGTGGCATATGCCACTGAGGCAACAATACAAGAGGCTTGTTACAATGGGGGGAAACCAGGCAGAGAATGCTTCCCCTCATGGGATGGGGCCAGCAGTAAATCAGGTTCTCCACACACCCCACAAGGACCCTATGGATTCACCACAATGTGTGGCAAATCCCAACCTTGATGTGATAAGGCCCTTAACTTGACTTGTCACTGCTGCTGCCATGGCAGCCAGATATGGCATTCCAAAGTGCTCCTAGCAATCACCAGGTGCATTTGCTAACAGATGATGTGGGGCATGGAGCAATGGGTTGTCCAAGCCCCCCACCAGGACCCTCAGATTCACCACCATACACGGTGATTCCCAAACTTAATGTGATAAGGTCCTTAGAAAGGTATTGCCCCCCCCCCCCACTCTTTCTCCTTTGTCCTGATGGTGCCATTACTGATGTTGTGGCAAGATAAGTGACACAGTACTAATCTGTTCCCTTCCCTGCCCTGAGTGCAAGGAAAAGGAGATGGTGGTCCTGGATTGTGTGACAGTGGTCTGGTTTAATTTAGTGCCAGTGTATATGACCACACTACCCCTAAAGTACAGGGCTGCTCCCAAGGTTGCTATCACTCATGAACCTTCCTTGATTCCACTTAATGCAAAGTGAAGTTCCTGCTGATGCAACAAATGTCAAAACCTACATGTCAGAGTCAACTTTTTCCTAGAAAAGAGATTTCACTCAGACAATAGGAAAAACCTCTTTATTGTAAGAACTGCTTAACAGTGAAATAGACTTCATATTTCAGAAGTGCTTTATATATATTTATATATTCCTGCCTTTGCAGCCCTTTCCAGCTCTGCGATCCTATAAACTAAGAACTCCTTGACAGAACTGTGTGAGTTTTTAGACATGCAAACCTTTCAATCTTATTGAGTCAACTTTTTCAATTTTCTCCTGCAGCCGGCCATTTATATTTCCTATCTTGGATGTAGGTGATGCTGGGAAGAGGATTGTGGATGGCATTCTGAAAGAGAAACTTTATGTTGTCTTGTCAGCATTTGCTCGATTCATTGTTCTTAAAATGTAAGCATCTCTCTATTCTGCCTTTGTATTCAAATATGCAACTTTTAGAATTTTGAGATCTTTATAAGGAAAGGGGATTCTCCTGGGCCCTGGCATGACCTTGCAGATACACTTCAAGAAAGCAAAAAAGCCGAGAGGACTGGTAACACCCAGTAGAAGGGATGTAGAGAAGAAGAAATTGAAAAAGTTTATTTTATATTTCCAATTAGCCCAACACATTTTAGTCTAATAATATTTGATGGACTTTACCAATGGCTGATTTAAAAAAAAACTGGAAAAAGGAACAATAAGTAAAAAAATATATATATAATGAGACAAGCTACAATTTGTTGTATCAGTTATATGTACCCAGTAGTAGTATTAGTAGTAGTAATAATAATAATAATAATAATAATAATAATAATAATAATAATACTTTATTTATAGCCTGCCCTATTCCACGGGGAACTCAGGGCAGCTTCCAGACAAAAAGACAAACATTCAATGCCTTGGAATAAACAAACACATACATAAAAATAATACAAGTTAACATCATAAATTATAAACAAGAAAATAAAAATTATAATTAAATAAGCATAATTATAAAAAATAAACACATCAGGTCTACAAGAACCAGCACTACTGTATACTCACATATAAGCCTATAAATGTTAGTCAAAAAATCAATAACCCAAAAAAGGGATTCAACTTATCCACAGTATCAATGGAACTCCTAGATCTTATCTGAACCCTACTGTACTTGATAACTATAGACCAGTCCCCATTCTTCCATTTTTGGGCAAGGGACTGGAGTATTTGATGGTCTCTGAACTCCAGGGGCTTCTAGATGAAACTGATTATCCATTTCAATTTGGTTTCAGGCCTATCTATGGAACAGAAACAGTTTTTGTTACTATGGTGAATGACCTACTTAAATAACTTTATGGGAGAGTGAACCTTTCAGTGGCTTTCAATATCATCAACTATGATATCCTACTGAGCCACCTCATGGTGATGTGACATGGATGCACTATTTTACAGTTGCTTTGTTCCTTCCTCAAGGGCAAACCCAGTAGGTGGTGCAGAAATTCCTCAGGGCTTTTTTGTGTCCCCCATGTTGTTTAACATCTACAGAAAATCACTGGGACAAGTCTTATAATGTTTTAAAGTGTAGTTCCATTTACATGCAAATGACACCCTACTCTTCTACTCCTTTACACCCAGTGAAGCTATTCTGGTCCGGGACAGGATATAGTCAAACAAATTGAAGCTTAATTCAGACAAGACAGAGGTGCTCCTGGTCAGTCAGAAGGCAGATCGGTGAATCCAGCTTGTGTTAGAGATATAGGAAAGAAAATTGATTTGGCCCACACTTAGATTGTAGAGGACCCATAGGCAATGACTCAATTTCCAATCAATGTCATTTTTTAAACAGGGTCCTCTCATTCTGGGAAAAGTTTTCTATAGCAACCAATAATGCAGATCCTAAAAGTGATTACATCCCAGAAAATGGTCAACCCAAACCGTTAGACGATATCAGAGGCTTTCTCTGTATCTTTTTAATTAAAAGATTGGGAAAATGGGAAGTGAAGGCTACAGCAAGGAATAACTCACAAAGCAAGCATTGTTTTAAATCATTTATCTAATTTTAGTTATCACCTTATTTTATTTTGTTTTATTTTATCGTGTCAGAAGCAAATTGAGAATACAGTTATAATGTATAGAAAAACCACAAACAAAGTTAAAAAAAACTTGGCATTATACTAAATTTCCTTTGACCAGAAGCTGGCCACTTCAAGTGTCTCTGGTGTTGCTGGAAGAAAGTCCTCCATTGTGCATGGGGCAGGGCTCAGATTGCATTGTAGTAGATGGTCTGTGGTTTGCTCTTCTCCACACTTCCATGTTGTAGACTCCAATTTGTAGACCTTAAATGTAAGGAAACTAAGTAGTACTATATATATATATATATATGATAATAGGAATGTTTTCATCCAAAATGTCTCAAGATTATAGTTTTTTCCATCCATTTTTACATGATCTCCCAATTGCCATCCAAGATTGAGGCTCTTAAGTTTCTCTTAACAGATGTTGTAGCCAGGGTTTTATTCCCTGTAGCCCACTCAGAGCTTACCCCAACAGCCTGAAAAATTTGTTTCTCCACCAGTTCCTCAATTTTCAGCTCTTTTGTAAAACTAGGTTGCTGTAAGTTTTTCAGGCTGTATGGCCATGTTCCAGAAGCTTTCTCTCCTGACGTTTCACCTGCATCTATGGCAGGCATCCTCAGAGGTTGCGAGGTCAAACTTCTGTAAAAATTCAGGTCACATTTTTTCTCAATTTTTTTACCTCCTTGGGAATGTCTCCTGATCTGAGTGGGGCAAACTTTGCAGGCAATCCAATTATTGTGATTGCATACTTTCTTGCCAGACATTTGTTTGAAGTTGACTTTGTTGTTATTCCCATTTGTCAATTCTTTTTTTTTTACGCTGGTCTATGTATCTCCAATTCTATCTGCGATTAACTCCATCTCAGTCGATTTCTTCCTCACATCCTTCTGTGTAATCTTCAATTGATCAAATTCATGGACTAATTTTCCCAATTTATTATTCAGTGATTTGACTTTGTCTTGTAGTTTTGCCAAGCTATTATTGACTCTAACCACATCCTCTATCAGAGCCCCAAGCAGCCTGGGCGGTTTCGTTCGTTAATTTTGTAATTCGTTAAATATTCGTTATTTTTAGCATTTACGAAACGATT